ATATTAATAAGTTATAATCCTGAAAATTATCAGTAACGCTTTAAATAGCAAAGCTTTAAATATATTTCATTTTTAAAACTCAAGAACCATGTAGACACAAACAAGAATTTTTTAAATACCCATATACGAAGTTATATACATGAAATGTATACATACATTTACATTAATAATGTACAATACTAGTATGTGTTAGTAGAACGTAAAGCTGAAAAGATTATGTATCTTAGTTGTAGGATCAATGGTTTTAAAAATTATCTTCTAAAAGATTTCATTTTTATAATTCATGACTTCTTTCATTAATAATGATTTATTCTCTAATCAGTAAGAATAAGTAGAAAAATTAATATTACTACCAACTCACTCTTATGTAGAGGGCAGTCTGAGCTATGAATAATTCTGGTGGATGCTTGTAAAAAGAGGTATATGGCAACAATAGCCATTGTGGTTAAATATGAAAATATGAACAATATTTTTCCAAATTGTGCTAAAGCTTCTACTTGTCCAACAGAAGCAGGTATACATGATTAACAATGTAAGAAAAGAAATTACTCTGCTAATAGCCATGAAGGCTAATACTACTAGATGAGAGACCCTTCACCAACTGGATTCAAATCTAAAAGAGAGAAAACACATTTTTTTCATAGTTTCAATTATGGCAAATTGGTAGCTCCTAAAATGAGAAAGGCTGGGATCCTTATTTCTAAGACTTTAAGACTATACTGAATTAGAGGAAAATGTAAACAGTGATTACTCTCTTACCCAAGACGCATCATGAACATCAAAACACTCTTGGAGTTCATTGTGTCTTCTACACCCATAACCACCAAAATATATTAATCTGAAAAAAAAAATACAAAAGACATACTTTAGGAGTTCTATTTCCAGTTTGTTCACAGAAAGTTGAAAAAGATCCTTTTCCTCGCCCTAAAAACCCAAACAAGCCAAATAAACTAAAAAATCACAATTTAAAAAAAATCAAAGAGCTGAGGGAACAAAGAGACCTAAATGAACAATTCCAGAAAGTGGTAAGTTCTCGCTAGGAGAGAAGAGACCCGCTACTTTCATCCCTGGTGTAACAGCAGAAGGAGGAAGAATCCAGCACCTACAGGGTTTGCAAAGAGAAACCACTCTAGTTTTCAACAGCCACATCTATGCTGACATGGCAAGTTGGAATCTTAAGAAACCCAGCCATAGAGGGAGCTTGAATCTACTCCATAACTTTTTCACATAGTCTTCAAGGAAGGCTCAGGTTCAGTACCTAACAGCTGGAAGCAGAGGAGAGCTGAGCAACCTCCCTCAAAGAAACCTGAGCTTTCAACTACTAGAGTTTGGGATCAGGACAGGAAATCTTAAAGGAACACCTCAGAGGTAGCCGACCTTTATGCCTTCATACCCTATAGGGTAGCAGCCCTTCAAAGGCCAGGGGAGGCGATACAAGGCTGAAAGAGATCTCCCAAGGTGCAGAAAGCATGAAATGGGATTGGAGAGCAAAGAGAACTCTCCAGTGGCCCAAGGACCTATCAGTTGGGCTAGAAAACATGGAGATATTTCCCACAGTTCTGAGAGGTGGGAACTCAGCTGTGAAGCACAACTGAAAATCTCTAGAAAATCTCCAGTGCTCAAATATGGAGCTTTGGTACAGGAAAGTACTGTCTCAAAACATTTGAAACCAGTGGTAAAACTGAATCAAACTAACGCTATGACAAAACCCAAACACAAATCAACTACAGATTAGACTGCCTCAGCTCCCTCTCTAGCAGCCTAAAACAAGAAGAAAGGACATGTCCCTTTCTGGAGATAAATACAATTTATTCCAACCTTTACTGTTCCTCCAGAGAGAAGGTCTGGCATATAATAAAAAATTATAAAATACATGAAAAGGAAAAAAAAGTAGCCTGTGATCCAAAGAGGAAAGAGTCAATATAAGCAAACTCAGAGGTGGCCCGGATATTGGGATTATCAGAAAGGGCCTTTAAAGTAACTATGATAAAACTGCAAATACACCTAGTAAAAAAATGTGGACAACGTGCAGAAGAAATGGGTAATTTTAGTAGAGATATGGAACCATAAAAATGAACTAAATGAAAATGTTAAAAATGGAAAATAAGATGTCAGAATAAAGAATTCCTGACATAGGCTTAATAGCAAATAATACAGGAATGGAAAAGATCAGTAAAATTGAAGACAAGTCAATAGATCAATAAAAAACATCCAAATTAAAACACAAAGAAAATCCCTGGTGGTATGGTGGTTAGGATAAAAAAATAAATAACAAGAAAAATGTCCTCGTATTTCTGTCTGCCTGATTGTGGCAGCCAAGATTGAATAGAGGAATA